CCCCCCCCCCCATCAGTGCCAAACTGGAACAAAATTATTTTCATAGTCAAATGAGGTGTAGAAACAATGCAGTGTCCGGGGCAGACCCATAGAGGGCTGAAGAGGGCCCTTCCTGACCTTGAACTTTGTGTTTACTTGTGAGCTTCTTGACTTTGATTCTCACACAATTATGTCGTTTATCATTGCCCTTGAAACCCTGAGAACAGGGTACCGTCCAAGGTCTCGGGACACCTGGAGGAAGTAGTCTGGGGAGTCAGTGCAAAGTCACTTGGAAGAACTTTGGGGATCAGTGAGTAATAACCTACCTTTTTGGGGATGTGGGGAAATGTTTTCAAATCCAACAAAACATATCTTTCATTGGTGCCTGTTTTGTTTTTTTTTTTTTAATTTTTTTTAACGTTTATTTATTTTTGAGACAGAGAGAGACAGAACATGAACGGGGGAGGGTCAGAGAGAGAGAGGGAGACACAGAATCAGAAACAGGCTCCAGGCTCTGAGCTGTCAGCACAGAGCCCAACGCGGGGCTTGAACTCACGAACCGCAAGATCATGACCTGAGCCGAAGTCGGACGCTTAACTGACTGAGCCACTGTGGCGCCCCAGTGCCTGTTTTATAAATGTGAAATCCATACAAAATCTAAGACTACTTCCTAGTAGTAACTCAGTACATAGGATATATTCTGTATTAGTCATTCCTGATCTCCCCAACAGACACCTTTGCAAACTATCTTGCATCATGTCCACGGTCAAGTTTCTAGAAACTAGGGATTCTGCTCATGTTTTATTTATTGGGTGGTTCCCATGTGGGTGGTTATCATATGTATTGGTAGCCCCATATACTGACAGATGACTGGTAAATATACTGGACTATGAAAGTGATGAGTCGACACAGATATGAAATTACTCTTTTTATTTTATTTTTATTTTTTTAATTTTTAGTAATCTCTACACCCAACATGGGGCTTGAACGCATGACCCCGAGATCAAGAGCCACACGTTCCACCAACTGAGCCAGCCAGGTGCCCGATATGAAACCATTCTTTATAATTAACATTCTTACAAAATTCTCTCTCACCAGGACATTTTGTAAAATGCCTGTTTGGTATCCCCACCCTTGCTTCTTTAATGTCCTGGTGGATCTGCAATCTGTTCATCTTGAAGTAATGAATCGTGGGCACTCTGCCCTCTTGAGAACCTAAACTGTAATAAGATGCGGGCAGGTTCTGATGCAATCAGCAAGCTCTCGGTTGGTGTCTGGTAAAGGAATTTATTGGTGAATATGGGGAGTGTCCAGATAGCAGATCGCGCAGGGCAGGAGTCCCGGGGGTGAGCCAGGGTGAAGGAAACGCTTGAGGTGAGGAGAGAAAGGGGCAGCGGTTTACAGGAACCGATCCGAGCCTGGGGTTTGAACTCAGGCACGACGCATGCTCTAGAATATGAAGGAAAAAGCAATGAACCGGGAGGGTCCGGTGACCTCAGAAAATAACATTTATAAGTTAATTCTTATTTGTATCCATGTGCGTGGTGTTTGAAAAATAAAATAATCAAGGCTTAGAATAAAATAGAACAATCCCCATCCCTCACGTTTCTTATTCTACCTTCCAAGTCTTTTAGCATTTCCTTCTGTAAACGGAAATCACATAATGCGAATTTCCAGGTTTGTCGATTTGGGACATTGTCTATTGATGTTATGGTGGGTAAAGACTTAAGTCGTGTACCCCCACCTCCACTGCTTGGAATGCATCCTTCCCAACATAGTAACGGTGGCTTTTTGTTAGATCAGCAGTTTCCACAATCGTGACCACGTAAATACTACTCACAGCAGAGCCAAGCAGGGTGCCGTGATTACGTTTTCTTTGTTTTTCAACTCTTTCTTTTGCTTCTTTTTCTGTGTTCCTTTCCCTAGTTTTTTCCCCCCAAATATGCCATCATATCCGACAAATGTCTATTCATTTTATTTTCCAGAATCTTCTATCAGTTAACGTATGTATTTCATCCCCTCTCTGGGGACCTGCCTCCCTGTGCCCTGTGCCTGCTACACAGTTACCAGCCTGCTGTGCTCCTCTGTATTAGATCCCCTGTTCCCAGTGACTGTGTCCCCTTTCATAATTTACTCCCTTGTTTTGCTGGAGCACATCCGCTGGTTACATCTCAAGAAAGGGTACACAAGAAATAAAAATGTTTTTAGTCCTTGCATGTGTGAACATGTCTCTAATTTGTCCCCATACTTCATTATAGGATTCTTTGTTGAAGATAATTTTCCTCCAACTTTTGAAGGCCTTGCTTCACCATCTTACGGCATCAGTATTACTGCCAAGAAGACTGGTGACATTCTGGGGCACCTGGGTGGCTCAGTCGGTCAAGCGGCTGACTCTTGATCTCAGCTCAGATCTTCATCTCGGGGTTGTAAGTTCAAGCCCCGCCTTGGGCTCCACACTGGGCGTGGAGCTTATTTAAAAAAAGGAGAGCATCTGGGTGGCTCAGTTGGTTGAACATCCACCTGATTTCAGTTCAGTTCATGAACCCAGGGCTGTGGGGTCGAGCCCCACTTCAGGCTCTGCACTGAGTGGAGCCTGCTTAAGATTCTGTCTCTCTCTCTCTCTCTCTCTCTCTCTCTCTCCCTCCCTCCCTCCTTCCCTCCCTCACTCCCTCTGCCCCCCCCCCCGCTTGTGCTCCCTTCTCTCTCTCTCTCTCTCTCTCTCTCTCAAAATATAGAAGACTGATGACATTCTGACCAATGAGTGTTTGCGTTGACCTCTTTATGTTTTTGTTTTTCTCTTTAGTTTTTAGGAGCTTATCTTTTCTTCAGTATTTTGAAAGTTCACGACCACTTGCATTGGTGTGGTTCTGGCTTTTTATTGTGTCTTTTCAATCTGGAGACTTCTGTCCTTTCGTTTGGGAAATATTCTTGGATTATTTCTTTAGTAATTTACTTCTGTCTACATTATCTTTTCTCTCTTGTGGAACTCAGATTGGTCTGCAGATTTCTGGATTGATCTTCTGATTTTCTTTCTTTCTCTTTTTGCTGTCCTCCCTCCCTCCTTCCTCCTTCCTCCCTCCCTTCCTTCCTCCCTTCCTTCCTTCCTTCCTTCCTTCCTTCCTTCCTTCCTTCCTTCCTTCTCTCACTGTCTATCTCTTTGGTTTGTGTTCTGTTTTTCTGGGAGAATTCCTTAACTCCATGTTCTGACTTATCTGTTGAAATTTTTATTTCAAAAAGTGTTACCTAATTGTCCGAACGCTTCTTTGGTTTATCACCTCCTGTTCCTGCTTCATAGATACAATTCATTTCTTACCTCTGTAGATATTCTAGCTTCTTCTTTTGCCTGTGAACACTTTCCTTCTGTGCTTTGCCTTTTATGTCAGAGGCTTTCCCCAAGTGTCTGATCATTTAATATTTAGGAGTGAGGCCCAAAAACACCAGTTGGAAGGTCTGTGTGCGTGGTGGGCAGGACCCCAGGTTGGCCTCCGTGGAGGGAAGATGGGGAGCCACAGTTTTGTTATGAGGCCCCCAAGTGTCATTACCATTTGGCCAGTGGCCTTGAGGGTGTTTTTTTTTTTTCCTTTCCTTAGGGAGGGGACCCTACCACATTCCCCCCCCATTGATGCTCAGACCCCTCTATTTTGGGTCAAAGAGCATCATCTTGGTTTAGAGGTTTATATTTTTATAACATCACTACATGAGTGGCCATCTTTTTAAAAATCATGTCCTCAGTGAGACTGAGACAACCAGGGGAACTAAGCAGTGTAGGATTGAGCACCCTTCCAGAATTAGGAGGATAATTTTTATGAGAGTTTCAACTCAAAAGTTGAAAACCATCCTCTAAATAACTCCCCGGGGTTTTAACTGTTTCAGGTCTGGCTGGGGGCAGGAGAAGTCCTTTTCATTTCCTCTGTGATCTCTTCTATGACCTTTTTTTAAAAAATTATCTATCTGTAGGCAGCAGGTGCCCAGCTTAAACTTTTTATGAACTCCTCCCTCAGAAGCAAGCAGGTAGTCTAAGGCCCGGCGATTTTGATAGATGGCATTGTGCATTTCGGTTTGCTGCTTGGCCGGTAAGTCAAGAGCTCTGGCGGTTTCATTGGTGATAATTTCTACAACTGCTTGCAGCCTGATTATGCGGGTTAGCATGTAGGTGGGAGTGCGGTGGCCCCGGCACCGTCCTCTGCCCAGGTGGCAGGGCCACGATATTGGATTATACGCTCGGGAGGCCATTTGTTGTCTTTTAATTGCTGATGTGTGGGACACGCCACTTCCTCTGAGTCTCCCTGTCCCCACACACTTGGACTCCCAAACGTCTCCCTCTGGCAAGCGCGAGCAGGAAGAGAGGTGGACAAAGAGCTCCCAGCACACGTGACCCTGATCAGCCTGGGGGGAGGGCCGTGTAGGCTGTCCTGCCACGTATCTAGGACAGTCCACCTGGACCCGCCATTTGATGGCTGTGCTGACACTGTCCCAGGCCTCTCAGGGAAGAGAGAAGTTAGGCAAGGGGTGGGGATCTGGTTCAAGGTGATCTGGGGTCCCCCACCATTGGGTTTTCCTGGCAGTTAAGTTATAAAGTCTTTGGCCTAGGCAGGTTAAGTTTTTAACAGAGACGACGATGAACTTTGCCCCATCAGGCAAGAAGGTTTTTCCCAATAATTGAGCTTTAGAGAAGCCAAGCCCCAGCAGGACTGGGGTGTTTTGTTTTACTGTTAAGGTTTGTGGGGATCAGATTTTCTAGTCTCTCACGGCCATTGTTTTCCCATGTTGGCACCAACGAAGCATCCTGTCCACGAGAGGCAGGTGAGTGAGCGTTCACAGAAACCTCTCCCCACGTTCGCAGCCGGCCCGGGCGGCCTCGGCCAATCCTGTGGCAAAGAGTAGAGCAAGAATCACGACAAGAGCAAGAAACAGGGCGTGACAGTGCGTCACAGCATGGAAACATCTAGAAAATAAGGACAGTCTTTTGTCCCACCAGACCTTCGATTCCCCTTCGATTCCTCAAGCTCCTGGCGTGCGTAGCTCAGTCAGCTTCCGGAGTGACTAAAGCAGGGCTGCGGTCTCCCGGAGCCTCTGGAGTGGCAGAACCTTCCGTGTGGTCAGCTTGCGCGGCGTGGATGGATCAGGAAAGCACTCCCAGCTTCGAGATGCCGGCTTCGCTCTGCCGTAGTGAATCCAGGGACCCACTTCGGCCGCCTTTCCTGCGGTAGGGGTGGACAAAATGACAGTGAACGGGCCCTCCAGAGGGGCCTTAGGGGTCGGGCACTCCAGTCCTTCACCCACACGGCATCTCCTGGTTAAAGGGGCGAGCGTCTGTGGTCAGACTCGCAGGGAATCGCTCCCTGACCCCGTGGTGTAAGGTGGTTGGGGTAGAGCCGAGGGCCCGCATCTGTGCTCGCGGGGTTAGACTGTCTATCTCATTTAGATCCCCCCTCGTGCCCTTGGTACTGGGGGGAGGGCGCCCATACAGGGCTTCATAAGGGGAGAACCCCGTGGGCTGCTTCAGCCTCCCCCCTGCGGCTGCAGTCTGCCCCCCGGAAGGTCCCTGATCTCTCCCTGCCTGATGTTAACCCTTCCCTATTCACTCCTCCCCTGGAACAGGGCCTGTGACTGGGTAGAGAACAGGGACGATGACCGCTCTGGCTTCTTCAAGCTGCTAAGGGGCGGCGCGGGGGTACAGCAGTCGGAGTCAACCCAAGGGTCAGCCCAGTGGCCACGGTATGGTCGACCGGGAGGCTGGCAGGCACGAGGCGGCATAAACATGAGCAGACGTGAAGAGAAAAACACAAAGTAAAGATTCTGCCGACCAGCAAGACGGCATCTTAAGACGGCGTCGACGGTTTCCAAACCCGCCGGACAACCTCGGAGAGACCCTGACTTTGTAAACAACACACATCAGGGAATCTCTCATAACCCAGGTGATGGAGAAGCAGGAGCATTAAGTAATCAGTGGTGGCTCTGTTTCCAGGAGTTTGGCCCTAACTTAGTTAAAAAAAAACTTTTTTTAAAGCCCCTGATGCTGGTGAGGTGTTATTTGGAGTTTTGCTGAGTAGAAGCAGACAATGTGCTTTACTTTGAGGTGTAACACTTTTCCGAGAGCCAGGAGTCCGACTAGAGAAAGAGTCAAAGCAGTCGTTCACCCTTATTCATTTGCAGGTGTTTAGGGAAGCCATACCTGGGTATTACTTTATAAGGCAGAACTTTTATTACTTTCCGTGCCTTTTCTGTCTTGTAGGAGAAGGCCTTTACTCAGTTCGTACAAGTATTGGTCCATACCAGCAGGTGTTGGGATTCCTTTGACCTTGGCATCTGAGTGAACCTAACTGTCACTCTTCCCTGGACAGCCTCCGGTCCCTCGATTATCTGGGAGAGCAAGTTTGTGGTTGAAAGGAGCGTTTCTAAGACGCTGATATTCCTGGCACAACTGTCCTTGACGATTTTTTTTTTTTTTCTTCAGTAAACATCCTTTGGGCCCTTTGATAAGTTTCGTCCCTCCCTCAATGAAAGGCCTAATGCTGTGTTTTATTAATCTTTTTAGCTCTGTGAGCTCGGTAATCATAATTGCCCAGCTCTGTTTGTAACCATTCCAAGGGCTGGAAACAGACCCCAGAGCCTAGGAGTCAGACCCCAGTTTAGTTTCTTGGGAGGGTAGGTGGAATTGAGTCTTCCTTAATAATTGATATAGCGGCAAACTATTTTCCTGAACCCTGGTATCTACAGCCTACGACATCCAGGAGTTCCCCAAAACTCACACAATTGTTTATTCGGAGTTAGTAGCACCACAGTCTCTAATTCAGTTATAATGTCCCTTCCCAGCAAGGGAGTAAGGCTCTCTGGCATTATCAGGAAAGAAAGAGAAAAAATTAGGTTTCCCAAAGACATCCCAGGGGCTGAGCGAAAACATTTAGTTACAAGTTTTCCGGAGACGCCTCTAATCGTCACGCTGTGTTTGGATGGTTGGAAAGGAGGACAGAAAAGTTCACTCTGGTCAATTTTTTTTAGAGTTACCCGAGGCTCTGGGTTTCTGGTGGACAGTTGGTTTAGGGGAGCCACCGTGAAGAGCCCCAAGCCCCGGTCAGTCCCTTCCAGGGACACTGGTTATCTGAGCCCTCACAGATACAGGGCCCCGAGGGCATTCAGATGTCCAGTGATCGTCTCCCCAGAAGGGGCAGAGCCTATGGGGTTTTCATTTCGGTTGTCCCCTGTGAGGACGTTCTCATTTTAGTGCTCTGAATTCACGGCCGTATAAATGGCACTTGGGGCCAGGACCTCGGGAAGCCTGGTCTGACATAGTACGGAAGGCCGCCACTAAGGCCTCGGATTTTTCTTTTTTTTTTTCAATTCTCCTCTTGATCCTGGTTGTAATATACCCAACTGGCAGCTCGTAAGATCTCCTCCTTCTGGACCAACAGCAAGTTTTTGCCGTTTTCTCCGAATATCTGGGGCCCATCGAGCGACAAATTTGTCTTTTAGAATCGTCTCAGCCTCAGGGGTGTCAGGGGGGATAGCCGTATATTTCATGAGAGCCCCCTTCACCTTTCCAGGCAGGCCACCAGGGTTTTATTATGTGTCTGTAAGACAGTGGCATAATCGAAAGGCTTAGCTTCAGACCTCCTGACCATATATAAAATTTCTTTTTAAAGATTTTCCTTTATAAACCTTTTACAACTTTACTTTGCTTTTAGATTTGACCTAAGCCTTTTTTTTTTTTTTTTTTTTTTTTCCCCCAAAACAGCCAGTCTCATTTGGGAAAAAATTATCTTTTTTTTTTTTTTTTTTTTTACCTTTAACAAAAAATGTATTTTCATTCCTTATATATTTTTTATATATCTACTTTTCCACACGCAGATTGCTTTGCTTATTTCCATCAGTCTTAACTGCATTTAGCAGAATTTTAACTCATAGAAACTTTAGTCTCCAGTGAAAACTAAGTATAACCAATTGTGACCTGTTACATCAGAATTTCTTAGATGGCAAGTTTTTGAATCAATTAAGCACAAAACATGTTTTCCCACAGATCCAAATATCCTTAGTTTTCTGCAACAAGTCAGAAGCACAAACCTACATATCTAGTAATGAGTGCTTTAGCCTCTTATCTCGTTAGACATGCAATGAATTCAATCCCAATTTATCATGCAAGCAAAAACTAACGTTTTAGGTTACCAAAGACTTTGAAAGCTATCTTTTTTTTTAAATTTTTTTAATTAGTTTTCTTTATTTTTGAGAGGCAGAAAGAGAGGGAGACACAGAATCCGAAGCAGGCTCCAGGTTCTGAGCTGTCAGCACAGAGCCCAATGCAGGGCTCAAACTCACGAAATGTGAGATCATGACCTGAGCCGAAGTCAACCGACTGAGCCACCCAGGAGCCCCTTTGAAAGCTATCTTAACAATTACTCATGAAAACTATGAGACAGATGAAATTAACCATCACTTTAAGCCATCCTTTTGTTAACAAACTGGAACAGAGATAACATGAGCTCATTTGACCTTCAGCAAATCTAGGGAGAGTAAAAGTTCTTTCTTATTTAATGTTGATAAGCATTCTTTATCTCAAACCAACAAACTTAAATTGGCTTAAACATCGAATACGTTTTACTTGGGTCCACATAAGACAGTTTGTTCCCCGTGGTTGATTTTTCCCTGGGACGTTGGTGGGGAAATCTGACTTCGGGGGTCTTTGCTCCTCGACCTCTGGGGAGGTCAAACTCCAGGTTTGTTTTGTGTTTTGTTTTGTTTTGTTTTGTTTTGTTTTGTTTTGTTTTGTTTTGTTTTCCACAGGTGGAATTAGGCAGTCAGTGTCAGTCCGGAGAAGCCAGGGAATTTCCCTGAAACAAAGGGAGTTTAAGCAGCTGCTTGGGAATATTCCTTGAGGTCCCCATTCTGAGGTAGAGTAACCAGAGACAGTTGGCTCTAATCATCACAGTCATTGACCCAGCAAATGAGGGAGAGACAAGTCCCCGCACAGTCACATGGCGACTCCAACCCACCGCCGAGCGCCCAGCGCCTTAGAGTTGTGGCTTTGTTCCTTGTCCCTTTTTTTTTTTTTTTTTTTTTTAATTTTTTTTTCAACGTTCATTTATTTTTGGGACAGAGAGAGACACAGCATGAACGGGGGAGGGGCAGAGAGAGAGGGAGACACAGAATCGGAAACAGGCTCCAGGCTCTGAGCCATCAGCCCAGAACCTGACGCAGGGCTCGAACTCACGGACCGCGAGATCGTGACCTGGCTGAAGTCGGACGCTTAACCGACTGCGCCACCCAGGCGCCCCTCCTTGTCCCTTTTGGAACAGCTAGGGCAGCTGCGGGAGGTGACCAGGCTCCCCTTCTGCCTCTCAGGGGCAGGTCTGCCAAAACGAACCTGGGTTCTTACCAGTCTGACGGGCGGCACTCCCTGTGCTGGTTCCTGGGCCTCACGGGTTCCGCTGGCACACGTGGGGTCCTCGCCCTGGCCAGAGGGCTAGTCTCGCGAAGATCAAGCGATCCCCTGGTGCCAGGTGAGCTGCCTCTCCCGGCGCCCCAGGGTTCTCATCCCTGGTGACAAAAGAGGTGGAAACGCACCGTCTCTGAATCCCGGACGAGCCCCCAAGTCATACAGCAGGATTTTCACACAGAGTCGTGATGTCAGGGCTTTTCTTTCCTGGAAGCAACTTTATTCCTGCCAGCACCGCTCAGTTGGGTTCCTACCCAAAGAACTGAGTCCCGAACACCACGTGGCGTAGTTTTTTAAATATATTTTCTACTTCCTTGTCTCCCGTATATGGTAACATGCAAACATGCAGTCTGATTCAGTGGTCTCCTGTTACAAGGTCGTGAGGGATGCTGTCACATAGGCGTTTGGCCAGGTTGCCTTGAGTTTTTTTGTTGTTGTTGTTTTGTTTTTTTCTTTCCTTAGGGAGGGGACTCTACCACAAAACAGGGTTCCTGTTTTGTTTTTTTTTTTTAATTTTTTTTTCAACGTTTTTATTTATTTTTGGGACAGAGAGAGACAGAGCATGAACGGGGGAGGGGCAGAGAGAGAGGGAGACACAGAATCGGAAACAGGCTCCAGGCTCCGAGCCATCAGCCCAGAGCCTGACACGGGGCTCGAACTCACGGACCGCGAGATCGTGACCTGGCTGAAGTCGGACGCTTAACCGACTGCGCCACCCAGGCGCCCCCAGGGTTCCTGTTTTTAAAAAAAAAGTGGTGGGTCAGATTTGGCCCGTGGGCTGTAGTTTGCTGATGCCCCACAGGTCTAGAACAAGAATCTGCTTGCTTCTGGTTGAAGAAAGGTTTTCAGCTTCGTCTTGCTATCTTTTCTCCCACTCACTTTATCCCTGTGGAACTTACAGCTGTTTCCCCCCTCTGTAGTTATTTTCACGTTGTTTTCAGTAGCGGAGACAAATGCATACGTTTGTTAGGTCCACAAGTTTTTAAGCTTTTTCTTTCAAAATAATTCCAAACTTAAAAGTTGTTGCAAGAATGGTACAAAGAGCTACCATACGCCCTTTACCCAGTTACAAATTGTTAATACTTTACAGCATTTCCTTTATAATCTCCCCCTCCCTCCTTCTATAGATAGATAGATAGATAGATACAACCATTTCAGACCTGGTGTTCTATTCACTACTCCTTATATACTTAAGTGTAGTTTAAAAAAAATTTTTTTTAATGTTTATTTTTGAGAGAGAGAGACAGACAGACAGAGTATGAGCAGGGGAGGGGCCGAGAGAGAGGGAGACACAGAATCCGAAGCAGGCTCCAGGCTCTGAGCTATCAGCACAGAACCCGACGCAGGGCTCGAACCCACAGACCTTGAGATCGTGACCTGAGCTGAAGTCAGATGCTCAACCAACTGAGCCACCCAGGTGCCCCTTCAGTGTATATTTTCTAAGAGCACAGATATTCACTCAGAAAAGAACTCAATTTTCCAAGATTTATAATGCCGTTGTTGAATCTACAGACCTTTCTCAGATGTCCCCTGTAAGTCCTTTCTAGAACTGTTCTCAGCCCAGGGCCGGGTCCAGGTGCAACACTGTGGTTGGTTTTCAGGACTCTATAGGCTCCTTTAATGAGGAAAAGCCTGTCAGCCTTGTTTTGTGTTTCGTGACGCTGGTGTTGTTTTGACATTGCCATTTTTGGAGATATAGGCCGTCAGTTTGTGGAACGTTACTTAATTTGGGTTTTGGGTGATTTTTCTCATGTGTTCATTTTTGACATAAAGAATGCTGTTTCCTTTGTGGTGAATCCGGAACTGATCTACAATTTTTATTTAAGATTGCCCCCCACCCCCACCCCCCAGAAATCATTTTTCATTCTACTTGAGGTTCCTGGAAACTTTCCAGATGTTACAAGCACAGAACAGTCTTTGTTCTGATTTTTTTTTTTTTAATCTAATGTATTCTAGAGGTCCCATTATATCCACTCTTTTGCTTCATAAACCTTTTCGGTGGCTTTTGACACATGACAGTGAATACATGACTGTCTAAACTTTGCCCTGTTGACTGGGACTCTGCCTTATTTATTTATGGACTGCATATACACAGACTGCGATTGGAAATGCCTTGGACTATCGTAGATTTCATATTCCAGTGCTGGGCAGATGATGTAACCAAGGAGGAGGGTGTTAGGACACAGCAGTGAGCCCTGAGGTGACAGTCTCACCAAAGTTACTTGGTTTTATTTCTTTAATCTTTTATTTTTAGTTTAGTTATTTATTTAGAGAGAGAGAGAGAGCACAAGCAGGGGAAGGGCAGAGAGAGGGAGAGAGAGAAGCCCAAGTGGGCTCCAGCACCATCAGCCCAGAGCCTGATGCGGGGGTTGGAACTCAAGAACCTTGAGATCCTGACCTGAGCTGAGATCAAGAGTCAGACGCTTAACCCACTGAGCCCCCCAGGCGCCCCCACTGTAGTATAAAAACAGTTACTGAAATGTAATTCACACACTATGAAATCCACCCTCCTAAAGTGTACCGTTCAATGGGGCGTGCAGCCATCACCAGGACCTAATTTTAGGGTTAGAAGGCGATTGCCACCCTCACGCCAGTTGTACGATGATTTGTTACAGCAAATTTGAGTCCCTTGGTGAACCGGCCAGAACTTCTATGTGAAAGATTTGGGGGACGGTTGGCGTGTGTGTGTGTGTGTGTGTGTGTGTGTGTGTAACGACAAGTTTTGGAAGAGTACAGAGATGCCAGGGCCCGCAGGGTGACAGAAGGCTCCTGCAGGAGGGCACCACTTCCGGGTGCGGCGCGAGCAAAGGCCTGGAGGCAGCGACGGTCCCGTGTGTCCGCTGGCCAGAAGCAGCCTCTCTGGCTGCAGGGGAGAGTCCGGGGCGGAGGTGAGCGGACAGGCAGGAGGCCGAGGGTAAGTCAGTCCGCGGCACCCCGCCCCCGCGACAGGCCATCCGCCGGCTGAGGCTTGAGGGTGCCCGGCGTGGGGACAGTCGCCTGTGGAGCGCGGGAGCGAGGCGCCGCGGGGGCGTGAGCAGGTTACCGACCGTGGGCCGTCCCAGGGCCAAGGTCCGGGGATCGGTGCCCGCGGAAGCACTCAGCCCAGCACCCGCCGCTCCCGAGTCGGCGCCGCAGACCCGGGTCCTCACCCGGAGGGCCGCGAACGAGCCCCGCTTTCGTGCACACCGCGTGGAAGTGTGCCAGCGCGTGGCCGCGCGCGTGGGCGAGGTGCAGGGGCGGCGAGGTCTGCGGGGAAGAAGCGGGAAGGACACGCGGCGTGCGAGCCACACACACACCCCACCCCCCCACCCCGCCTCGCCCCGCCCCGAGACAGTCCGCCGAGGGGCCGCGCTCGGACGCGCCTGTGCGCGAGCAGGTGCGCGGCGGCGCGCAGGTGACGCGCCCTTCCCTGGTCGCCCGGGTAACCCGGCCGGGTCGTCCCTAGGCCGTGGGCCCCGCCCCCGACCGCCCCTCGGGGCCGAGCCTGGGCGGGATCAGCGCAGGGGCGCCCGGGGCGGCGGAGCCACAGTCCCAGCGAGCGCGCGCCGGAGCCTGGGGCCTGGAGCCGACGACCGTAAGGGGCGCGGGCTGGGGGCGGACGCGTCGGGGGGCGACTGGGGGCGCGCGCTGGGGGGACGGGTGTCGGGGCGCGGTCCCGGGGGGAAGAGTGGGTGTGGGGGCGCGGTTCCGCGGGGGGCGGGCTCGGGGTGGGGGGGGCAGTGTGACTTACTGTCGCTTCGGGGACCCGCGTCTGCACCCGACGGAGGGCCTGGCGCGCCCATGCCTGCCTCCTCCGTGCCCCCGGGGCTGAAGGGGCGCGGCGGCGCCCCCCCCCCCGCACTCTCTCCCCGAGAGTTCTGCTAACAGGGTGCGTCGCGCCCCGCGGTGAAAAGCACGTGTTTGTCTCTGGACCCCTAAACCCTGCTCGGATCTTGAGTTTGGAAGGCGCTTTCTTGCCTTCGCTGTCCGCCGCCCCCGCCCCCGGGGGGAAAGGGGTGCCTACAGCCACCTGAGGGGACCCGGGCCTGGGTCCCAGTTCGCCGTGTGGCCCTGAGTTGCACCCGCCCCTTTCTGAAGCCTAGGCGAGGCGGGATCGTGGGGGCAGCGGCTCTAGCAGTGGTCAGGCGCAGTTTGACTTTTTTCTCCACCTGCTCCCTCCCGCCCCCCACCCCCCACCCCATAATCCTCGGGGTCCGCAAAGCCTGGATGTGCCCTGCGCCCGCGTGGGCAGACACCCCTCCCCCTTTCTAGACTTCCCTCTCCCTGCCCGGGCAGCACCCCGGCTGGGGGGCGGGGAGGCCTGTGCATTCGGGGTCCCTGCTGTCCGTTCAGCGCCTTTGCTCAGATTTGTGAGCTCTGGTGGGAAATTGCTGAGGACACTGGCAAACGCTGTTTCTGTGACCCTCCGGGGCATCGCCAAGAGCAACCGTTCTCAGGAGGCCTCGGGGGCTCCAGAAAGTAACACTGGCCTCTGCCCCCATGGCTGGAGGTTGTTGCCTGAGCGAGTAGGGGCTGGAGGGCAGAGCCCCACTGGGCCTGGCTTAGTAAGAAGTTCTGGGATTGTTCAGCATTTTTCCCAAACATCCGCACTTGGAGGGCCATGTGAGGACACTCTTGTTTCCCTGAGGAAGTGTGGACTGTGCTCAGGGGCGCCTTCTGCCCTGGGCGGGGGGGAGGGGGGGGGCTCAGCAGGGAACGTGGACTCACTGGGCTCCCAGGTTTGCTGGGGAGAGGTGGACAATAAAATAAACTTGTAAAATGTAGAGTACGTGTGCCGTTGGGTGTAGAGCCCTGGAAGAGGGAAGGGGGGTGTCCGATGAAAGGGATGCCTCATCTGAGAGATGGTGGTTGAATGACCCCGAGGAGTTGGGAGTGGCCGGTTGCCGTTGGGGGTGACAGTGCACCAGGCTGAGGGAAGAGCAGGAGCAAAGGCCCCGTGGCAGGAGCGGTCCTGGCATGGATGAGCTTTAGATCTGTTTGCTGCGTGCGGGCGGGCCTGGCTGCCAGCAGTGTCCTTTGGTGTGAATGACCTCTTGCATAAACTGAACCAGCTTGACAGTGAGAGGACTCAGAACTTCTGAACCTATGCTGCCTCTCCCCGACCCCCCAGTTCCAGGAACGGGAGGAGCTCCACGGCCAGTAACTGCTCAGCAGGGCGGCCGAGGTGAACCTCGACACCGTCTGCTCCGACCCGCGTGGTCCCCTGTGCCTTAGGCACTCTGGCCAGACCGGCTTTGGGGAGCGGGTGCCTGCCGGAAGTGACCGGATGCCCTTGGGCAGGGGGGCCTTTCGAGAAGGAGCACTGGCCATTGCAGGAAGCAGAGCACCTCCCCCAGGAGCCTCCCGCTCACGTCCGGGCATCAGCTGGAGTTCGCAGGGAGCCCCTGCCGTTGATCCGAGAGCCCAGCTTGCACAGGCTTGGTGATCGCTCACCCGACAGCTTTGACTTCCCTCCCGGGCTCCTGGCCCAGGCCCAGGCCCCACTTCTCCACCCTTGAGCGGATGACACAGAGCTGGGCTTAGGGGAGAAGCAAGGGCCGGGGGCGCCCAGCCGGCTCAGTCCGTAGAGCGTGTGAGTGTTGATCTCAGAGCTGTGAGTTTGAGCCCCGAGTTGGGTGTGGAGGTTACTTACAAATAAAATCTTAAAAATAAATGAACAAGGGAGATCTAAGCGTGAGCGGGTTGCCACCGCCGAGGGAGGAGCCCAGAAGATACCCACCCGGGGCTGGGTGTGCAGAAAGAGAAGGTGCGTGTTGGTTCGGGGGGGCCCCCCTGGATCTCATGCTCAAAACCCACCTCTGCAAGGGCCCTAGAGCCCATCACTAGTGATTGGAGGGAACGCAGCGATGGGGACAGAGAACTGGTATGGAGAGAAGAGCGGGGTCATGCACTGGCCGGGCCGAGACGTCCCCTGCCCAGGCCTGGTCCGGGGACACAGGAGGCCGGGCCAATCTATCTGCAAGGCTCCTCGTGGCTCCAGCGGGTGGTGACTGTGTGGTTAAGTCCAAACTGATCTTCAGGGAAGGAAATTCGTAGGCGGGGTGCGGTCGGTTCAGAAGGGGCCAGGGTGGGCTTGAAGCCCGTGCCAGGCCCGCTGAGGGCAGCTTCAAGGACAGTGAGGGCTCCGGCCCCAGGGTGCGGGGCAAACCCTGGGACAGAGGGCAGGGACTTCAGATCGATGCAGAAGTGTCACTGCCCAGCCAGGCGGGCCTCCTGGGGACAGCGGGGGACTGCCGGTGGGTGTTCTTGGCCTGGGCCTGGCCCTTTAGGAGCAGACGCTCCCGGGTGCCATGGGGACAAGGTGGGGTGCAGCAGGGAGAAGGCCTCCCCCCGCACAGATCCCCCAGAGCACCCAGCCACCCGCTGCCCTGAGGAGGGAGGAGTGGTTGGTGCTCCAGGAAATCCTCCCTGGCGCCCGGGAGAGGACCTCGCGATCCCATCCCTGCTTACATAACGTAACACAGCTGAGCCAGCCAAGTTCAAACTGGTGTCTTTGCTTTCGCTGAGGTGTGTTTACCTTGCCAAGGGAGGTCCTAGTTCATCGTTCCTTGACTCCTGAAGGCCTGGCCGAGGCCCCTCCCCCCCCAGCGGGGCTCACAGACCTGAAGTGG